AAAAAAAAAAAAAAAAAAAAAAAAAAAAAAAAAAAAAAAAAAAAAAAAAAAAAAAACGAGAAGTAAATGAAAAATATTGGTCTGACTCGAGAAATCATCAAGGCTACCTTGTGTATATCTAACCTAAGTTCAGAGGACAGCTATCTGACCCTACGACATGATTGAATACGTGCACTCTAAATCTTTTATTACATCCCTATCCAAAGACTTAAAAGCTCAAATGAACTATGGTATACATAGCATATTCAAACTTTGGATGGGTCTAAACTATGAAAGAAAATGAAACTAAAGATCAAATGAAAGAATGGCATAACCTACAAGTTACATATGGCAGAGGCTATAACATTGATGCTGGAACCAGCGAGGGATCATTTGAGGATGTTTTTCTCCCCACCATTCTAACTAAAAAGATCCTTACCAGATCGTCTAGCAGCTCGGGTTTCGATGCTAAACCTTTTATGTGAAACCTTTTGCAGCAGCTGAGGGGATGGTAGCTCTCGAGTCTCGACGAGACCATGATCACTACGTCAATACGTCGTCCCAATATAAAAAATTGGGCATTCTACTCGTCGTTTTAGTATGAGTATATTTTTCGGGTTTGAATTTAGGACTATTGCCTTCCAAATTACAATCATAACAGAGAAGGCTCATTCTTCAGTGTAATGTGAATTGCTTATGGTGATCAAATGTTCTTCAATACCTTTCATTGAATCCCCACTAATATACCACGCTACAGATCCTGCAAAGAGAGGTATAACTTCTGCGTTATAGCCATTTGCAAGTTCTATTACCACTACCACATTAAACAAACAAGTAAATGAAGTTGATATTCATTCAGCAGAAATCAAATCCATGTTATTCTTATTTGACCCCTTTTTGCCAAATGATACCATATAAAAGGGTGTTAATTGTTCGGCACTGTTTCTGAAGAACGGTCGCGGATTCAGATACACGAAATAGATATCTTCAACACCCTTTTAGATGTTATGTGGTTTGTACGAGCACACATACACACAATCATTTCATAGAACATGATCAGCAATAATACGTGGAGTAGGGGATTCAACCTCTAACCTCTTGGTCGAGGGCACATGCCTAAACTATTTGAGCTATGTTTGAGCATATAGATCGTGCGCTAACTGATTAGCTATCAAAACATACAAAGTAAGAGAGATGTTTAGATGTCATACCTTGTGAAGGGACTGGTTGTTGTTCTCTTGTTGAGTGGAGAATCATAGTTCCAGAAAGGACGGTAATGAATCCACATAACTCAGAGACTATAGTGCTTGCGTTCTGACCTGACCAGTCCTGCAGCATAGAGCGACTTAACCGATTCACATTCATAGTTTTATTTTTTATTTTAAGAAGTTATATTTGTTTCACTTGTATGGATAAAATACCGAAGAACGAGGAGCCACATCAACAACTAACAAATTACCTTAAACATGATGGCACTAGCAATAATAGTCAACGTCGTGAACATGGCATAATACACTGGAGATACGAGGGCTGCATTGAATGTATCCAATGCCTGAAACAAAGAAGATCATATCTGTGAGATTCTACATCGATTGGGGAGGAAACAAAGCATTTTTTATAAGGGTGTGGAAACCTTTCCCTAGCGAATGCGTTTTAAAAACTTTGAGGGGAAGCACGAAAGGGAAATCCCAAAAAGGATAATATCTGCTAGCGGTGGGTTTGGGTCGTTACAAATAGTATTAAAGCCAGACACTGAGCGATGTGCCAGTGAGGAGATTGAGCCCTGAAAGGGGGTGGACACAAGGTGGTGTGCCAGCAAGGACACTGGACCCCCAAGGGAGTGGATTGGAGGGTCCCACATCGATCGGCGAAGGGAATGAGTGCCAGCGAGGACGCTCGGCCTCGAAGGGGAGTGGATTGTGAGATCCCACATCAGTTGGGGGAGGAGAACGAAGCATTTTTATAAGGGTGTGGAAATCTCTCTCTAACAGACGTGTTTTAAAAACCTTCAAGTAAAGTCTGAAAGGGAAAACTCAAGACAATATCTGCTAGCAGGGGCTTGGGTTGTTACAGTATCTATCAACATAAATAAACAACACTTGGGGCTTGGGTTGTTACAGTATGTTCATGTGGGAACCGGGAATTTGCACCTCTGGCCTCTTGGTCTAAGGTAACACGTCTTGACTAGTTGAACTAAGCTCAAATTTCAAGCATTTAGTTAAGAAAGGAATAGGAAACCACTGCGGAACCATTAATAGGACACCAACCTTATTCAAGTAATTAAGTTGTGTGACGACACAGACTACTGCAACTGTAACAAAAAGCCAAGTTTGAGGGTAAGCTACTTGGCTTACCCCTTCAAGTGTAAGTCTTATCGCTATTCCAATAGCTTTAATACTCATAACCTGAATTAATCACAAACGTTTAGAATTTTGCAAGTGGTAGTAAGACAGTCACAACAGCAATATAGGTATTGATCTAGCAGAATAATTACCGTCAATGAACCCATTAAAGAACAGATTCCCAAGTAGACTAATATATTTACATGTCCATAGCGAGGTTCAAAATACAACATAAGAGCCAACACTAACGAAGCTGTAGCAGCAAGGTAGACTAGAAAAGCTGTTCAAGGATTCAGAAAAAAGAAACTAAGTACCAAATATGATGATATTTCATTAAATGAAATTCATAAGAAAAGATTCTGACCTGGTTGAGTTGCTAAATTCCAGATTTCTTCAACAGAATCAGGAGTACGTTCCTGAGGTGCATGAATAACTATTATAACTGATCCTACTATACAGGATAAACACCCTACAACACCCATTTTCTGCAGCCTCTCCTTCAATAAGAAGTGGGCTAAAACAGCACTGCCCAAATCAAGAAAACAATGTAAGCTCCCCCATGAATCATTTAAACTAGACATAAACGATACAAGAATCTCGAAACGAACTTACCTGACAATAATGCTCAGTGCACCGAGAGGCGTGACTAAAACTGCTGGGGCATAAATATATGCTACAAAGTTCGCAACTTCTCCAATTATCACTATTTTGCAAGAAGAAAACTCAGGATCAATAGTAATACTGGGGTGGAGGTAAGGGGGTTGATAGCCTAAATAGTATAATGATGCATACTTATAACCATGCCTGCCCACCAAAGTGGCTCTAACAGGTACGTATAACCACCAACACCTGTTTTAAGAAAGAGATTATAAGCATCAACCAGTAATAGAGCATCAACATTACCTAGTCTAGGTAATGGCTCAAGCCCACCGCTAGCAGATATTGTCCTCTTTGGGTTTTCGCTGTCTGGCTTCCCCTCAAGGTTTTTAAAACGCGTCTGCTAGGGAGAGGTTTCCACACCCTTATAGAGGATGTTTCGTTCTCCTCCCCAACCGATATGGGATCTCACGAGAAGACTCATGAATTAAATGCCCATTAGAAGCAATAACAAAGCAGATGAAAAACTAAATTCATTACTTAAGGATCTTTAATGTTGTGAGCTCGTTAAGAGACTATTAACACAATTTATAGCTTAACGCTAGCATATCATATACTAGTTTGCAAGGATCTGACATCCAAAAGGTGGTTCATGATGTTCTGAATCTTGAGCTTCTAATCCATTCAAAAACACAATTGCCCTGTCTGCCATGATTAATTCTTGAACAAATCCTATCAATTAAAAACAAATCAAGAAGAAAAGTCCACACGGAACAAACTACTACAGCATTCCTATTGTCAAAGAACACAACAATTCTGAGATAAATTTGCCTCAAAGAAACTTCCCTTCCTCCAAACAGAACATAAAGCAAAATACAGAAAGAACAGATTTAAAACGGATCGGATTGCATCCAACCAACAAATAAATACATTACACAGACCAGAAATCAAGCATTCCAGAATCGGTAGAACAATTCATTCATGAACCGTAATCACTGACCTGCTCTCGCCCCTGTGGCACCGGCACGCTTAAGTCCTTTCTTCTTCAAGATAAAACTCGATCCAATAAACGCACTCGACGCCATAGCCAGAATCAGACCCTTCGTATTCTCGGAAATCGTCATCTCTCCGTCTCTCTTCACTCCAAAATAAAAAAAATAAAACAAAAGTCGCTCGCACACACAGCCAATTGGACTTCTCTCTGAGATTAATCAAAAGTTCGCCCCAAATTCCCGCTCAAATCGAGTCGCAATCCAAAATTCAAACAAGGCGCAGTAGAAAACAAAAACAGCACCAATCATAAATCTGGTATTCCCCTATGGAAATTAGGAATCATGAGGGCCAGCATTACCAAATGCCCGCCAAAATAAGATCACGAATTTCAAGAAATGGAAGAACAAATGCAATGCAATGCAATCGTCAGAAGAAAATAATTCCGGCGAGAAACGAGATCGAGGAATCTGAAAAACTTCTCGACGCAAAGTACCGCCTTCGTCGTCTTGCCGGAAATTTTCTTCTTTTTTCCCATATTTCTAATGATGGGTAAAAGGCTCTCCGGTGGTTTTTATTTATTTATTTATTTTTCTTTCTTTCACATAAATTTGGCAATACGTGTCCATTTCTTAGTGGTTACTTTTAATCTCATTTATTAAATAAATAAATAAATAAATAAAATATCTTTCCTTGCTTTTAAAAAATTGCATAATAAAATAATAAAATCCCTATTGACTAGTTGATACCATGATGTCGGCAGAGGTTTTTTTTTTTTTTTTCCTTTTTTGTTTTCTTTTTTAGCAAAATTAGACTCCTCCTTTCCCTTCTTCAAACTATAGAGAAATCTTTGATCGAGCCAGACCCATTTTGTATCGTATCCAAGAGATTTTTGGATCCGAAAAAACAAAATCAACTTCTAATAGACCATGAACTAAATCAAAATCATACTCAAAGTCCATAGGAGATTATCCCGTTTTTTTCAACTATTCCAACCGTACACAATTATTTTTGGCATGTTTTATCTTAATTACTTCAAATAATTAAATTATCATGATTGAGCCACCGAACAGTAAGGTACAGCTTCCGATGAGTTAAAGCCTCAAAAGTTTTATTAATATCTTAATTTTTTTAAAAGTTTTAAATACACTTTTGAATTTTAAAAAATAATAATCATAATATTTTAGAGGTATTTTTTATAAAATTATTAAAAAAAAAATTTAAAAACTGAAGGGTAATTAATGAAACAGTTATTTATATAAAATAAGAAATACAACTTGCTTTTAATATATTGAATTTCAGTAATTTTCTCGATAATTTATTATAATTTTGTAAATATTTAATGGTTGTACTTTTAGTAATGATTTCCCTAAGATTATTCAATAATAATTATATAAAATCTCCAAAATAATACCTTCTATATAATACCCAATTACTATTTTTTATTTTTAGATATATTAATAAGAATATGCTTCAACTTTGTATTTAAATACCCTTTATAATCTTTTTTGTAAAATTAAATTTTTTTTAAAATAAAATTCAATAATACATTTTTAATTAGCCTAAACAACAATTTCAAACTAACAAAATTTTAAAATTCCACAAGTATTCTTTTAAATATAATATTAAAAATTCCACTATTTACATTATCCAAAGTAAATATCATTAAAAATTCAAAAGACAAACCAAAAGTTTTGAAGTATTAAACGGGAGCTCGATTCATTCGAGACTCGGCTACAACGAGAGCACGGTTCATTCGAGACTCGGCTACAACGAGAGCACGGTTCATTCGAGACTCGGCTACAACGAGAGCACGGATTCATTCGAGACTCGGCTACAACGAGAGCACGGATTCATTCGAGACTCGGCTACAACGAGAGCACGGATTCATTCGAGACTCGGCTACAACGAGAGTACGTAACGGTTGTAAAGAAGATAATAACCTAATAGTCCTGCTAAATTCAGGACTGCAATCCCCAATATGAGGATCTCAGTCTCTTTCTAACAACTCCACAGGAATCTAAAGGGCATAAACCATATAATATTCTCCGCACCACCAGACAAGCTTCTCAACTTTTCCATGGCATACTAAATCATATGCAGACAAACTTTTTCTCGTAGACCATGCTCTTTCAAAAGCTACCATCATAATAATTAATTCAAGCAACGAAATCTCACTAAACAATTATATTTTCATTGACTTCACTCATCAAATCAAACCAACCAAGAAAAATGTATCATCCATCGACAAAACAAATCTAATCTATATCCATTACCAGCAATCAGATCAACGGAATTGATACTAAATTCAAGGATTCATGAGACTTTCGAGTATCAATACACATTCTAATCCAAATCCAATACGAATTCCACGCAATCAGAACAGAAGATCATATATATAGAGTACCACAATCCATTAGAATCTATAATCATCCAGCATTCCCGGTGGAAGAAATGGGTTATGATTCATTTGATTATTCAAGAACTGCAAAAAAGAAGGATGAGAGAAAGTTGAAAGACAGAGCCATATCATATTATTGAAGGTCCTCGGTTTGAACAACCAATTATGTCTAGGAACCACCGCGAAACCGCCATCAAACAGAAAGGTAAAAACGGCAGTTACACATAACTAAAGAAGCAGCGTAAACCCACGACCCATAACCTAAAAAGAGACGCAGACAGAACCATATTCGCAGTAAGTTAAAAAACAACACACGCAAATAGGAAATGATCATCGATACGATTTCGCCGGAGCAGCGACAGATCTAAGAGAGTTGGCCACAGTCGGCAATGACAACTGGTTTCGAGGTCCTTCCAGAGCTCGATCCGACCTTCTCAATGGCCTTTACCACGTCCATTCCTTCAACGATTTGACCGAACACCACGTGCTTTCCATCAAGCCACTCGGTCTTAGCGGTGCAAATGAAGAACTGAGATCCATTAGTTCCAGGTCCAGCATTCGCCATGGACAAAACACCAGGTCCGGTGTGCTTCTTGATGAAGTTCTCATCGGCAAATTTGGAACCGTAGATCGACTCACCTCCGGTACCATTTCCAGCTGTAAAATCGCCTCCCTGGCACATGAAATTAGGGATCACACGGTGGAACGACGAGCCCTTGTAATGAAGGTTATGACCACTCCGGCCGACTCCCTTCTCGCCGGTGCATAGTGCACGGAAGTTCTCGGCGGTGCGGGGAGTGACATCGGCGTACAGCTCCATCACGATCCGGCCAGCCGCTTGGCCGCCGATGGTCATGTCGAAGAAGACTTTAGGGTTAGGCATTTTCTTTTCAGAGAGTTGGAAATATCTCAGAAGTAAAAGAAAACCGATTTGATTTTAGGGCTAGTGGGGCAAGAGGTATTTATAGCAGTCAAGGTTCGAGTGTATCCATGTAAACTCAATATCAACCGTTGGATTAAAACACGTGGCGCAATTTCAGTGACATTTAACTAACTGTGGTTAGGTTAAGAAACCCAGGGTTAGTTTCGCTGTCATGATTAAGAATCCGTATACTTTTCCGTTCCGTTTGTTTTTTCTTCAAAAAGAAAAAACAATTGATAATTTACGATGTGTCGTTTAGCGGAATGGAAACGGAAGCGGTCTTTCGGTGAACGGCCACCTTTGGTCACTAAACGACGTGTCGAAAACGCGAAGAAAAAACAACGAGCTTAATTGTATTTAGATTTTTTTTTTTTATTTCTAATAATTTTGAATGGAATGGAACCATATGATTATTTAATAGAGTATACAAATATAAATGACTAATTGTATAATAATTAATTATAATTAATAAATTTTATAAATGGAAACAAATAAATTTTAAATATTTAATTAAAATTTGCAGTTCAATTTCAATATATAATTTTAAAAATTATATTTAAGTACATAATAAATAATAAAAAAGTAATAAATTAAATAATATATATATATATATATATATATATATTCAAACTATTAATAAATTTAATATGGTTTGGTTTAACACCACTAATTTTAGAGAAATTTATAAATAAATAAATAAATTCATTTATTTTTTTCAAAAATATTATAAACAAACTAATATTCTGAAAAATGAAATTGGAATATTGGTGGGCCCACCTTAAAGGGAATATATATATATATATATATATATATATATTTTAAAAAGATTGCTACAATGACTCTAGACCATAACTTTTTCTTTTTAGAGCCATCATTTGGTATCCATATAAAAGAAGGGATTTTTATTTATTTATTTATTTTTATTTTCTTTCTATTTTTAAAAGCAATAAATAGAGAGGAATAATGCTTTTTTACAAATTTTATATATAAAAAAAAAATTATTTAAAAAAACATAGGGTGTGAAAATATGATACTTGGCCTCATCAATATTTTATTTTTTCTAACTTTAATTTTCATGAAATTTTATATTTAATGCTTACTACAAAAGTAATATTATGAATATGTTACACTTTTTTTTTTCAAGTATTGTGTGTTTAATATTTGAAATTAAAAAAAAATATATATATTTGCCCCTAAGTTATGTTCTTATTAGCAAATATATATATATATATATATATACACACACATATGTGGATGAAAAAGGTGTACATGGGATCGGGTTCTCGGAGGACATCCAAAATGTGACCAAGCATGACATCGAACTGGAGATTATTTTTAGATTCCCACGGAACAAAGATAGTTAACATGTGCCACAGAGAAAGATCTGACTCGTATATGATGTACATAAGTTTAGTAAAATAAAATAATGAAATGTTTCGAAAGATATTTTATATATATAATAACTTTTCCATGGAGATTTTTAATTAACTTTTAATAAAGACCATTAAAGATAAAAAGAACAAAAAATGAAGATTTTTTCTTGTTCGTGGAGACCTTATTCCTAACCAAAGAAGGGACGAGGATGATAGTACCGTTCCATTGTGTTCTCATTTCTATAACTCTATTTTTGCAATAAAGACCAAATATAGAATTTAATAAGGTTTACCCCACACGGTGTTTGTAGAAAAATAATGTAAATGTCGGATAAAATGAGGGGTGCAATCTTCAAAAATACGTTTTAACTTTCAAAAATAGTATATCGATCCATATGGTTATTACGATCAATGCTCAAAAATACTGTTATGATCAAAGCACTAGTAGGAATATGATTATCAGGTGTAGGTAGACAGTTTTTGTCTATATATTGACAGTAAAATCTTAAAATACCAACGATTTCCATCCAAAAGTAACAAAAATATATATTCGAATACTTCGATCTCGTAGCTTTATATTGAATACATGGATCAAAGACCACAACCAACCAATTTGATGTCATTTTTACAACACAAAACAAATTATAAACACAAACTCCACAATATACTCTCTCTTTCCCTCTAAATTTGTTTCTTCTTGTGATATCCACTTGAAGACTTTATTACATCAACAACGAAGTTTGAAGCTAATATATAAAATATGACACCAATTCAAACATATATATGAACTTATATATGAAATGGCAGCCAATTCAAACATATATATGAACTTATATATAGCACTCATGAACTAATTCTTGCAGATATATTTGTCCTAAGGGTGTGGAACAGGAGGATGAAGAGGAGGAAACTTCTTGCCGAACTTGGGGTGGGATAAGTACTTTGGAGGGATAACAGGGATGACCTTAGGAACTGGTGAACATGGAGGAAGCTTTGAAATTGGAGGAAGAATCTTGTAAAATGGATGCTTGTAGACTGGTGTTGGTGGTTTTGGCACGTAAACGGGCGGTTTTGGTGGTTTTGGCTCATTGACCGGTGGCTTTGGTGGTTTTGGCTCATTGACCGGTGGCTTTGGTGGTTTTGGTGGTTTTGGCTCGTTGACTGGAGGTTTTGGCTCGTAGACTGGTGGTTTCGGCTTTTTTGGCTTTTTCGGTTTTGGCTTGTAAACCGGTGGTGGCTTTTCGTAGACTGGAGGAGGCTTTTCGTAGACCGGAGGAGGCTTCTCATTGACCGGAGGAGGGTTTTCGGGAACTGGGGGAGGCTCATAAACCGGTGGAGGCTTTTCGGGGACGGGTGGCTCTTCCGGGGTGGGTGGAGGGAAGAATTTGTGATGGTAAGGAGGGAAATATGGATGACCAAACAATGGAGGATGAGGAGGGAAGACAATAGGAGGCAAAGGAGGATGATGATAATGCCAAAAGAAGGCAGAAACACAAGTTCCACTTTCAAACTTAAGCGCACCAGACAAACCAAATGTATGTTTTCCATTACCATTGGATTTCAACACAATCATGGAGGATTCCAAGCCATCAGGAGATGAACAAGGAGTAGAAGAAGCACTATGAAGCTGAGCAAAGCACTTACCCTTCAACTTTCCATCTTTCAAAGCCTCCATTGGAAGCAACACTTTGAACTTCCCTTCTTCATTAAGCTCTGCAAACCCTTTTCTTTCAAAGCTTCCATCCTTCAGCTTGCAGTCGACGCTGACACGAAGCCCTGCATTGGATTATTCATTCAAGTTCATAACATTTAAAAAGAATCAAACTTAAATGAATGAGTAAATGAGATGAGAAACTAAACCTGTGAAGGCATGAGTGGTTTTAATGTTGTTCTTGTGGCAGTCTGCACATTCTCCGACCCCGACAACCTCAACGGTTGTCAAGTCGCTGCCATGGCAGAAAGTTGCAGCAAAAAGGAAGAAGAACCAGAAAAGGAAACAGACAGAAGGGCTCTGCATGGAGGAATGAAGAGGGAACTGAAAGTGCAAGACAGTGAACCCAAATGGATCATTTTTATAGGAATTTGAAGGAGAAGATCAGAAGGTAAGCACCGACGGTAGAGTTATGATATTGGGGTCCAAACTTTTGGGTGATTTAGTTTGCTGATTGGCACATTGGCATGGCATTCAATAACTTCAGCTACTCTGCTACTTACTCATCTACCAAGAAAATAATGCTCATAATTGAGATTAATCTTTTAAGTTCTTCAAATGTTGGTATGCATTTAATTTTCCTGTTTTTTCTCTTTCGGAATATTTTTACTTTCCTATACTAGATGTTTTCGTTAGAGGCCCGAGCGGAGGGGAGGATACAAACCTATCATGGATAATTTAAACCAGGTAAACTATATCTACTCTATGTTAAGTCCTTGTCTGTTCTAGAGATTTGTAGTTGAGTATGGCCAATTTTGGGTCGAACGAGATTGTGTTTGTAGTACTGATTTCTATGATTATATTCAAGGTTTGTTCACGGGTGGCTAGGGGTAGACGTCGTCGAAAGGAAAATCAATGATTTGTATGATGCAAACAAGTGCACTCAAGAGGCATTTCAATCCTTACAAGGTGTAAAGTTGGTAACATGTGAACCTAAGGCCTTGTGTAATAAGTGAGTTAGGTTCAAGAATAGACTTGTAATAGTATAAAAGGGATGAATCACAAGCAACGATTTAATAATCGCTCGGTACTTCTAATGGTCGATACCGACAAGAGAAATAATATTTTTGAGAGTTTCTAGAAATTTAAAGGAGTGAGTAGAGGAGACAGACAAGTTCTAAGAATTACTTCCTCACAATTGCACTTCTCAAAAGATTTGTAAAGAGAATCGTATGCTCAGAGTTCTATCTTCTAATAAGAACAGGAGAGATCCACAAAAGGTACTATTATCGCATGTACTAAGGAAAACGAAAAACTCGAGCATGATCGAAAGTTTTGGGGTATAAAATTTAGCTCGGGATGTTCATGCATATGTATAGTACAAAGACGAATGCTATGGTAAGATCGTCTAAAATCCACAAACAGTTCTTCCTGGTCATGTAAGTCAAAAATCATGGCATACAAATCCTCAACATTTTCTTCAGTAATCGATGTCACCCGACATCTAAGATGAGTAGTCATCACAATTTGAATCTGCTACATCAAAGACAATAAAATAACAGATTGGCTCTATGTTCTTACCATCAGACCAAGTCAGGATGGTTTATCCTTCTCCTCATCTTTTTACAACCCAAAAGAAAGGCATTAATGGAGCGCCTACAACATTACAGTTGGAGGTTATGATAAGGTAGCATTTGCAGTTGATGATATTTTATGAATATTATCGACAAGTTCCATATAAATAGGCCAGATATTATCGTCCTTGAAAACTAAAAAATAAAAAACAAGAAAATCCAGATAGACAAATGGGAGACCCAATCTCATTAACTACCATCTTGCTGGCTAATTTAAGAGTCTTTACCCAACTCTTAAGCAATTAAATCAAGTCTACATTTGTCTCCTCATAAAATCATATATATGCAAGCATGAAAGCCACTAGCCAAGACCTCACATGGGGCAATTTAATGAGGGAAAAACTGATATCAAGCAAATTAACAGTTTTATAGGAAGCCATTCGACATCGAGATGTGAAAGGAGCAGAAACTTTCCCATGATGTAGAGGTAAATGATTTCAAAGAGAATTGGTAACCTGCACAGCCCACGGGCCACGACATCGATGATCCAACAAGGCAAGGATTGTGACTAATACAGAAAAGGGGTTCCAAGGAAAGTTGAGAAAGTTTCAACTTTGATAATCATATGCTCCAAGGAAAATTCTCTAGATTCAGAAAACTGTATCATTGCGGACTTAATATAGATCGACATTAAGAAACAATTCCCTGACATGCTACACTGGCAAGGAAGGGTTGTTTAACGCACCTAACTTACAAAAACTAGTCAACTTTGACTCTCTCCTCAAATCTTCAACTGCCTAACGTGAGTTACTGGAATCTGCACATTGTCAGTGTACTATGCAAACTGGGATGGAGACTAGTCCTTTTTAATTCTTCTTCTTTGACTTGCTTGATGAGGACTGAGTGTATGCAGTTCCCTAAGGATCAGAGGAGATAAGATTACAAAATATATCAGCAGCAGTTTCCAGATTTTCTTTAGACATTTATGAATTCCGTGAACAAGTACAAACCTGAAGCCATTCATCCATCGAGGTATCAACGGTTTTTGTTCCCACTTCAACCTTGGATGCAGCCCTCTTGGGTTTCTGACACATACAAGGAATTGCATAGAATTTTATGCCAAAATCATTCATATATCTAGAAAATGATTAAATTAGATAAAGATTAACATTCTGCAGCTCCAACATTCTCATACTCCAAATATTAAGGTGAGAAATTTAAGTATGAAGACTGGGACCATGGTTAATAATAAAAGAAACGCTACCGGTAAATACTTGTAAAAGACCAGTTCAGATATATTTCAAGTCACATATTTGTTAAAAAATACTCTCAATGTCGGGACAATAGTCCAACATTGATGTACCAGCAGCTAATAAGAAGTAAAAGAATATAAATAAGGCAACATCCACCATTAGAAAACAAGGTCATCATCAAATGAAGACCAGAAAGATCTATACCTTGGACAGCTTTTGCTGTACTAGACCATGAATCCATAAGCCAAGCATCACGAGAAGTGCAATTCCAAGAGTGACTAAAAATACAGTCTCGATGCTGATGAAACCACTAGCTTCAATGACTTCAATAGTACCGTTATAGAAGATGCTTTGGTATGCATTCTGGTCTATCTCATAATATATGGTGCCCACTAGATCAAAGTTTCCAGGCTGCACATCAGGAATATGTTAAGGTGTTTTCATTTCCTCAATTAATAAAACTTCAAAACTGATGAGGATAAGCAGGATAGTAATTTTAAACTGAAAATTCATATCAAGGGGACGAGGAACTGCTAAAATGATGATTATGAATGAACCTGCAAAAACTTGCTGACAGCAAATGCATATGGGTAAGAAGCTTGGGTAGATGGGGGCACCGTTGCATTGTGGAAAACCTACAAGTACAATAAGGAAGATTATATAAGTTAAAAACACCAAGCTGAAGTTGTACTCAAAATACCAAATTAAAAAATACATATATAGAAGATGTTGAACTTCAATTTTAAATTATGTAATATTACATTGACTGTAAGAATAGTCAATCAACAGACATGAATCAAACCAAGAATAGCATGATAACAATCGACATTGAGATACAAAATATATTGCAGAAATAGTAATAGGAACATTTTACTGTAGAAAGTTTGCACTGGCCAAAAACAGTCTCAAAAAGAAGAAGAAAACACGAGACAAGATTTGAAAAGAAGAAATTGACTTATTAGAAAAAAGAAGAAAGATAAATGACTAAACATACATTAGAAGAACAATAACATTCCTTCTGTTCAACTAAACTAAAGATGTCCAAGCTACAAAGGGCCAAACTAAAGGAATTCGAGTAAGAATCAAAACTCGCAACTTTCAAATCAAAAGGCCTAACGTATTTCATAAACACATTAGTGACTGAAACTGAACCTGGCCAACACAAACAATATCCTTTACAAAATTTCACATTCAACTGATTGAGATTGAAACGTAGACAACTCAAGTATTTGTACCATGCAGTCTATGCTTGTATTCATTAAATATTAGAGGAAAAGGAAAAGGAAACAATTTGAGAACATACAGAAACTCTATTTAATAATCATATGTCAGGCTGGGATTACCTGTCCAGTAAGATTTTGAATCAACACACGATGATCAAAAGTGTAGTGAACGCTGGCCTTAATAGCTATAATATTCAAGCTTGATTCCCCTGGATTAACAAATAACAGTCGAGGAAATTATTGACCTATAAGATTTTGCATCATTGAAAAGCAATAAAAGGTTTAATCAATGCTGGCCTTGGCAGCTTTCCTATTACATCAAGCGTGACTGACACATTTAACAAAACTCAATCAAAAGAAGTGAATGTAATACAGTCAGGAACATAAATTCAGATGAAAACCCACGTTTCCAACAGAGAACAGACATAAATAATAATAAAACATTTAACAGCAATAAAATGAATTACTGATTAATAGAAAAAGACTGGCCAACAGGTGCAACAATACCAATCAGAAGAAGCCATCTTTGAGTTCAAAGATGCCTGTGATTGTTTATAGGAGATGTAAGGGCCCAAAGGTTTAGCAGATTAAAGTTAGTTACCATCATTTTTCACTCCTGCGAGTAGTTCGGTCTCTGCACCAGCTTGCACTACTGCAATAGAAGGCATGAACTTCAATGTAAATTATAGATATCAAAAATTATGTCACTCCTATCAAAGTAAAACAAATGTTACCAAATCCTGAATCTAGTTGAACACTTACTGCGTGCACTATTTTTTGGAAAAACGCAGACAGTATTAACTCCTGGAGCTGAACCGAAGATCACATCTTCACCCACAACTCCCAGATCACTAGCTTCTTCAACAACCTGGGATGGTTCGCCATCAGAGTCCGATTGACAAGTGGCAACTGTTAAGAAAATAAACAACAGAGTAAAATGATCCGCTAGAACAATGAAATTCAATGCATTCAATGAAAGACAAAATTGCATGCTTTGGTCTTCTACATAGAATGAACAATCGAATTACTAGTAAATTCAATGAAAATAAATTCGCTGGGGATTATGACTTCAAAAATGGCGACAATCAATTTATAATTCTCGGAAGAGAGGAGGGGGATGTGATTTCAGTAATGGCAACAGATAAACAACTTGATAATGATTCCCAGCATTGTAACAGTACTTCTTAAACGAATACTAATAGGAAAGTGACGCGATCCAATATAAAATGAATAATCTGATCCGAACCCACAAGAGAAACAATCAAACCAAGAAAAAGTCAAAGACCTAGACCGCATTAGACCAGAAAATCCCGATCGAAAACCATGCAAGGCAATTCCAAAAGAAGAATCCGCAAGGCCCAAGCGGTAGATCTAAGATTGAAAAAAAGAGCGAACCTCGGAGAAATGGAGAGGCAAGAAGAAGAATGGCCAGGAAGAAAACTCTGAAGGTGTTCATGGCGAATCAAACGGAGAGCGTAGATTGAGAGTTGAAACTTCGATCGGAGAGACGACCAAGCTTCAATTTTGGAGGGTTAAGGTTGGGATTTGGGGATCCATTAGCCACCTTTATTTGGGAGGGAGAATCCGCCTTCCCCAAATTGCTACACGTTTCTCTAATTTCCCTTTTTTTTCTTTTTCTTTTTCTTTTTTAATCTTTCTAATTAACTCTTAATTTTTTTTTTTTTTTTTTGAAGTATCAATTTTTAGGGCCCGTTTTAAAACAGGTAAAGAGAAGTTTTCATACCTTTATAAGGAATAGCGTGGGATCTCACGATACATTATCTTTGAGGCCTAACATCCACAATCTACCCCTTGGATGTCCAGCTACCTCGCTGGCGCACCAGTGTGACTCTGATATTATTTATAACGGTACAAGTCTACTATGTTAGCAGATATTGTCCGTTTTGGTTGACCCATTATATATCGTAGTCAGAGTCTCACACTGTTAAAACATGTCTACTAGAAACATATTTCCACACTTTTATAATGAATGTTCATTTCTCCTCTCTGACTAATATGAGTTTTTAAATTTGAAATCGTAAAAAATTAAAAAAAAAAAAACTCTTTTATTAAAATAAATAGTAAAAAAAAGTTTACCCTTTAATTCAATTAGTCAAAATTATTTATCACACACATCATTTTTACATATTAGTTGTTCATCCAAGTTCGAGAATTTTTTTTTTTTAAGATATATTTTTTAACAAATTTCAAAATTTAAAAATGAAATGGAATTGTTCAAATCTTAATTTTAATTTGGTTATGAATCTTTTAAAAAAAAAATTATTTAATTATATCTTTGTAATAAATGTAAAAAAAAATAATAAAAAAAACTCATTTTTATTTATTTTGTAATTAATTTTATCTATATAACTTCAACCAAAATATTTAATACAAATAAAAATGTTGTCACGGTAAGACATGGTTCACGTTCTTTAATGTCTCATATTTAGAATTTTGATTAAGATTCAAAATTTAGATTTAAATAATTGATGATCCCGACATTTTAATGCATCCACTACAACATAGTCATTTACCTGCTTTTCCTTTCTAAAGGTGAATATTATCTCAGTACGTTTAATCCTACTATTCAGTACATTTTAAAATCTAATCTCAGTACATTTTATCCTTCCTATACTATCTCAGTATGTTTTATCCTTCCTACTATCTCAGTACGTTTTATCATTCCTATACTATCTCAGTACGTTTTATCCTTACTATACTATCTCAGTACGTTTTATCCTTACTATACTATCTCAGTACGTTTTATCCTTCCTATACTATCTATACTATCTCAGTACGTTTTATCCTTACTATACTATCTCAGTACGTTTTATCCTTCCTATACTATCTCAGTACGTTTTATCCGTTTTATCCTTACTATACTATCTCAGTACGTTTTATCCTTCCTATACTATCTCAGTACGTTTTATCCTTACTATACTATCTCAGTACGTTTTATCCTTCCTATACTATCTATACTATCTCAGTACGTTTTATCCTTACTATACTATCTCAGTACGTTTTATCCTTCCTATACTATCTCAGTACGTTTTATCCGTTTTATCCTTACTATACTATCTCAGTACGTTTTATCCTTCCTATACTATCTCAGTACGTTTTATCCTTACTATACTATCTCAGTACGTTTTATCCTTCCTATACTATCTCAGTACGTTTTATCCTTCCTATACTATCTCAGTACGTTTTATCCTTCCTATACTATCTCAGTACGTTTTATCCTTACTATACTATCTCAGTACGTTTTATCTTTACTATACTATCTCAGTACGTTTTATCTTTACTATACTATCTCAGTACGTTTTATCCTTACTCACATGCTTTCTAAAAAAATTTCTCCCTCAAAATAAGAGACTATCGAAAAATAAGAACGAAATATTTATTTGTTAATTCAAACCTTTTTTGAAAATACCATTTACAATTTCAAATAAAAACCAAGAAGAAGAAAGAATGATATTATAAAATAATATAAATGTGAGAAATAATTAGAAATTGGCACCAAGATGTAAAGTTTGTCCTCACATGAGCACTCCTAATAATTAAATACAAACTTTGGTACATCACACTCATTTAATGCAATTGATGGATCATAATGGTGTTGGAGTGTGAATCAATCAATCAAACATTTTATATTGCTTTTCATAATTCTTCGACTCTATTAAGTTAGATTCAAGATTTCTTTGCAATTTCAACCACTTCTTTTTCCCGATAAGTCAAATAATGAGACGACAAAGAAAACTTTTTTTTTCTTTTTCTTCAGATAAGTTTTGTTGGAGGATGAAAGTCCCACGTCAACTAATTCAAGGAATGATCATGGGTTTATAATAATACTATTTCATTGGTATGAGGCTTTTCAGGAAAATCCAAAGCAAATTTGGAGGGCTTATACTCAAAGTAGACAATATCATACTATTGTGGAGAGTTTATGTTTATCTAACATGGTATCAGAGTCATGCCCTAAACTTAGTCATGTCAATAGAATCTTCAAATGTCGAACAAAGTATTGTGAGACTCGAAGGCATAAACAACAAGTGACTAAAGTATCAAAGTCATGCCCTAAACTTAGTTATGTTAATAGAATCCTCCCTCAAATGTCGAACAAAATATTGTGAGCCTCGAAGGCATAGACAACAAGTGACTAAAGTATCAAAGTCATGCCCTAAACTTAGTCATGTTAATAGAATCTCCCTCAAATGTCGAACAAAATATTGTGAACCTCGAAGGTATAGTCAACAAGGGACTAAAGTATCGAACAAATGGTGTAGATCTTGTGTTCATCTAACACCATTTAGTTTTAGATCTCAAAATATGACAATTTCTAAATTTCATGTTCAATTCGAAATCGTTACATTTAATCACTATTAAAATTAATTAAAAAGTTACACATCATAATATTTAAATCAATCAAATGGAAAATTAACATTAGGATCAAAAGTAAGTATAAATTCAAGAATAAAAAAGTAAAATCCTCTCAAAACTAAACTTTAAACATCAAAGTAAGGGCAAAAATTAAATAATATTTTTCTCTAAATTAATTTTAAATGAAATTTATCCCCCACCCCAAAAAAAAAACCTATCACTTCGTTTCCCTCCAAAGGTTTGGCAAAAGATGATTGGTCCACGCATTAGCGGGCATTAGCGGATGAATGGACCTCTACGTTCAATTAGGAATTCAAATTTCAAGTACGGTGTTTTACTCTTTCCAATTACTTGATCAAACCGCGATCAACGGCCAGATTTTAAGATCAAGTTTCTCCTCTTTTTCTCTCCCTAAACTTCCGGACGCCTTTAATTTATTAAATTCACTTTTTTTTAAATCGTCAATCAATTGACTTTCTCGCCCTTTTTTTAAAAAAATAGATTTATAATATACGCCAAAAACATGGAAATTCTCAACAAAAGTAATTTAAGAATATTATAATATCATTTCAAAAATGCTTCAATAGGAAGGTTTTTTTTTTACAAAATAAATTAAACAAGAATACAAATGTAATCACAATGATCACTGTTACAAGTAATCTAATTATTTGTTTCTTTTTGTTTTTGGAATTCTTCAACATAAGAGAAGAGATCGAACGTCAAATGTGTATATATGTTTGTTTGTTCTAAAAAGAAAATTATTCAAATTAATTTCCAAGGAACTAAGCGCCTATGGTGAAGAAAACAAGTGATCTGTTCTATTCAGAGCTACAAAGTGATGCACAAATTACAGGAATGAAAATCTACGAGTATTTATATTTATTTGATAAACAAAAACAGTTCATCTTCATCTTCATCTTCATTCAAGCACTAAAACCAAGGCCAACTGATAAGATTTCCATCCAATAATACAACATACATCCACTGTATATATAAACACGGATTTCGTTTTTCAAAAAGTTAGATAAACGGAAACATACCTTTTTTGAAATCAAATCAACCGCAGCGCGCTCCACTGCAGAGGAGCGGTCGCGTACGCCATTTCTATATACATAAGGTTTCTATATGGACCAGCTCTCACGGAACGAGGACTGGAACTGCACGAGAACAAGCAGCAGCACGATCAACGCAGCGACGCCCCACGGCGAACTTCCCTCGGCAGGGAGGTGGTGCGTTCTGCGGCGGCGGTCCCAAGGCGAGGAAGAAAAGTAGCTCGGATCGACGGAGGAGAGGATTCGGGCAAGGATGATGAGGAGGACCGGCGTAGCGAAGAGAATCCAGTTGATTTGATCCTCAGCGGCCTCAACGGCGGACTCGTAGGAGAGCCACCAGGAGGCGCCGAGAAAGATGAAGACGACGGCGAGGAGGAGGAGGACGGGATACGGCAGAGGATTGAGGGAGAGAGAATCGAGAATTGAATCTGCGGTGGTTCTGCTTCTGTAATTGCTCATTGATTTGGGGATTTCTTTGTTGAGAGTTTGAGAATTGGAGATGGAGAGTAAAGGGAGTTTAGTCCAGTGAATTTATAGCGGGAGGAAGACTCGGGGTACGGTTCAGTGTGGGGCAATGTATGGGGAGCCATGTGGTGGTCGGTGATTGAGTCAATCTTGACCGTTGATCTACTTTTTCCGTAACCCGTTGATTTTTTTTAATTCTAAAATTTAACGACACATCTGCACGATACAATGCATCACTTTAATTAAGGGTTTATATTTTTTAAATCTAGTTTAGGTTCCTTAATAGCAATTTATTTAATTTATTTTTTGTTTTTTTTAATTAATTCAATTTTTCAATATTTAAAATATATTTTTAATTTAATAATAAATATATATATATATATACAAAAAATATATATATATATATATATATTTCATAGATACTCTCTACCATATATGATATTGTTTACTCTCACTCATGCCAATGGAGCGTGTTTCAGGTTTACTTTTGAAAATGTTTGGCGAACGCCATAAGAGTTCATCGAATTTGTTTCGAATGAACCCCTCAAACGTGCAAGAAAAATCCAAGTGGGCTCCATGGAGCGACATGGGTTCATAAAACTTACAAAAAAAAAAAATGGAAACTCCGGAAATTTCAAAGTAAGAGAGAGTAATGGAGAGAGATTTCTCTTTTTTATCTAAACGAGATCCGAAGTGGGGATTATGTTTATCGTCCGCACTCCACCTCACTTTTCGTATATAAATTCAAATACATACACATCAAACTAAAAAAACCTAATCCCGGTGAATATTCCAACTAAAATAAATAAAATTTTATGAAAAAATGAAGAACGTGGACGATAAAGGTTTCACCGATGTGTGAACAAGATGAAAAAATATAATTAAGAAATTAGTTATATTTGGGAAGTGTTAAATGATAGATGAACAATATAAGCAATTTGTTAGAGGTGAGTTCATTAAACAGGTGAAGACGAGGGGTCGTATAATCAAAATGGGTTGTTTCAATCATCACCATAAACGCGTCTTCAACCTTCCACAAATTTCATCTCTTTCTCAACTCAAACAGAAATTTCTGAAACCGTAAACAAATTAAGGGGAAAAAAGGTTGGAAAAGAGTAGCCATAATCAAATCATTGCCCACCTTGGATCTTTCAAACCGTACACGTGCCCTAACAAACCCCTATTTTCCTCTGCCCCTCAAAACCGACTCCCTCCATTCTTGTTGATCTTCACACACCCGTCTCCATCGCCCCTTTTTCACCTTTTTTCTCGTGTTTCTCTCCGCCATTGTTGATGGGTCGCACTTGTTTTCCTTATTCCTGAATACCCACTTCCTGTTTTTTGCAAATTTTTCCATTTCTAACTCGTTTTTGTGTTTGCAGCCTTGCATGGAGCTTGTGTTTTCCATGAGAGTCTGAGAAATTCGGTGGTGAGTTCTTGTGTTTCTTGATGTAATGTTGCTGTTGTTGTTTTGATGGGGATTGTTCTTAATCTGTTTGCATTTGGGGTTTATGATTTTGATGCTCTGTTTTTAATCAAATCTCTGTTCTCTTGCGATTGATGAAACGATGAATGGGAAATTTGCAGAGAGTTTAGGTTGTGTAGAAATGTCGATTTCTTCGTCGAATCCGACCCGGAATGGGAGTGTTAAAAACAACGATATGTTACACAATGTTAATGAGATTGAAGAAAGTGAGTTTTCCGAGCTATTGTTTTGATGGGGGTTGTTCTTAATCTGTTTGCATTTGGGGTTTATGATTTTGATGCTCTGTTTTTAATCCAATCTCTGTTACCTTGAGAAATCATTCTCTTGCGGTTGATGAAACGATGAATGTGAAATTTGCAGAGAGTTTAGGTTGTCTAGAAATGTCGATTTCTTCGTCGAATCCGACCCAGAATGGGAGTGTTAAAAACAACGATACGTTACACAATATTAGTCAGATTGAAGAAAGTGCATTTTCCAAGCTATTGGATAGGCCAAGGCCATTGAACATGGAGAGACAGAGATCATTTGATGAAAGATCGCTAGCGGACTTGGCGATTGGTTTCTCCCCACGCTTATCTTCGAGACTTTCTTCGGAGAACTTTACTCGATTGATAGACAATTATGATCAAACTCCATCTCCTGGTAGAAGATCGGATTTCAATACTCCAAGATCCCAGATTGGATTCGAGCAGCATCCTATGGTGGCCGAAGCTTGGGATGCTTTGAGGCGTTCGTTGGTCCATTTTCGTGGCCAACCAGTTGGTACTATTGCTGCTTTGGACAGTACTGAAGAAAATCTTAATTATGATCAAGTAAGAACACTACATCAATAATTACTTGCATTCAATGTTCAATCCCTGTTTGGTTGTGTTTAATCTTGCTTGTTAATCATTTGGACGGGTTTAAAATGTTTCGTTCTCGTACCCGTGAAGCATGGATACTTCAATTTTGACAACATGTTTGTATCTTGTCATGTTTGTGTCTTGAATCTGTCTCGGTGCTACTAGTTGATTAATCGTTCGAACCAGAACTTATATTGATCTGAATTGAGAGCCCGACACACAAATAACTTCTTTGTTCACATAGGTGTTCGTGAGAGACTTTGTCCCAAGCGCATTTGCTTTTCTAATGAACGGGGAGCCTGAGATTGTAAAAAACTTCATTTTAAAGACGCTACGGCTTCAGTCGTGGGAGAAAAAGATCGACAGGTTCCAGCTTGGAGAAGGGGTGATGCCTGCTAGTTTCAAAGTACTTCATGATCCAGTGAGGAATTCTGAAACTTTAATTGCAGATTTTGGAGAGAGTGCAATAGGAAGAGTTGCTCCAGTTGACTCCGGATTCTGGTGGATTATATTGCTACGAGCATACACAAAGTCTACTGGTGACTCTTCCTTGGCTGAACTACCAGAATGTCAAAAGGGAATGCGCCTTATTTTGAGTCTCTGTCTTTCCGAAGGGTTCGACACGTTTCCTACCCTTCTCTGTGCTGATGGATGCTGCATGATTGATAGACGAATGGTGCGTTTCTTTCAACCTTGCCCTTTATAAACACAATGATGAAACTAACAATTAATGCTCGAGTCCTGGAATTCACTTGGGAGACAGTTTGAGATATTGGATTCTGTGAATGGAATGATCACATGTTGTTAAAATTATGGTTTAAATCCATTTTGGTTTTCAATTTTCAGATCTGTTTCAAAATAAGGTTTAAACCGAAAATTATCTAGGCCGAGTTTGTAATGTGTGAGATCCCCACATCAGTTGGAGAGGAGAACGAAACATTTCTTATAAGGGTGTGGAAACCTCCCCCTAGCAGACAAGTTTTAAAACCGTGAGGCTGATGGTGATACGTAACGGGCTACAGTGGACGATATCCACTAGTGGTGGGCTTGGGCTGTTACAAATGGTATCAGAGTCAGACACCGGGCAGTGTGTCAGCTAGGACCCTGGGCTCCCAAGAGGGGTGGATTATGAGATTCCATATCGGTTGGAGAGGGGAATGAAACATTCCTTATAAGGGTGTGGAAACCTCTCCCTAGTAGACGAGTTTTAAAACCGTGAGGCTGATGGTGATATGTAACGGGTCACAGCGGACAATATCTACTAGTGGTGGACTTGGGCTGTTACAAATGGTATCAGAGCCAGAAATCGGGCAGTGTGTCAGCTAGGACACTGGGCTCCCAAGAGGGGTGGATTATGAGATTCCACATCAGTTGGAGAGGGGAATGAAACATTCCTTATAAGGGTGTGGAAACCTCTCCCTAGTAGACGCCTTTTAAAACCGTGAGGCTGATGGTGATACGTAACGGGCCACAGTGGACAATATCTACTAGTGGTGGACTTGGTCTGTTACAAATGGTATTAGAACCAGACACCGGGTAGTATGCCAGCTAGGACGCTAGGCTCCCAAGAGGGGTGGATTATGAGATTCCACATCGGTTGGAGAGGGGAATGAAACATTCCTTATAAGGGTGTGGAAACCTCTTCCTAGCAGACGCGTTTTAAAACTTTGAGTAGAAGCCCAAAAGGGAAAGCCCAAAGAGGACAATATCTAATAGCGGTGTTACATTATGATGTACGTTTTCTTTTTCCTTCTTTGTGGGAGACAAAAGGCTTCATCAAAGACAACCTTATCAGTCTTTATCTACCACGAGTATCTTGCTTTATTGTGTCCTAATAGGTTGCATAACAAAATGAGCTATATGCACTGTGCATTCTCTGAGTCGAAAACATGATTATTATTCATTCATCTCTTATGTCTTATTGCTTTTATTATTGGTTTCAGGGTGTATATGGCTACCCAATTGAAATTCAAGCTCTTTTCTTTATGGCTTTAAGGTGTGCTTTGCTTTTGCTAAAGCACGACCACGAGGGGAAGGACTTTATCGAAAGAATAACAAAACGACTTCTTGCCTTGAGCTATCACATGAGAACTTACTTTTGGCTAGACCTAAAGCAACTAAACGATATATATCGATATAAAACCGAAGAATACTCTCACACTGCTTTGAACAAGTTCAACGTAATACCCGATTCTCTTCCCGAATGGATTTTCGACTTCATGCCGATTCATGGTGGTTACTTTATTGGAAATGTCAGCCCTGCAAGAATGGACTTCCGCTGGTTTTGCTTGGGCAACTGCATTGCTATTCTTTCTGCCTTGGCAACACCAGAACAGTCCACTGCTATTATGGACCTTATTGAATCACGGTGGGAAGAACTGGTCGGAGAAATGCCGCTTAAGGTTTGTTACCCTGCCATTGAAAGCCATGAGTGGCGGATTATAACCGGGTGTGATCCGAAAAATACGAGATGGAGTTACCACAATGGTGGTTCTTGGCCAGGTATGCACCTCTACTTTTCTTAAGAGATCGTGGGATCGAATCCGAAACCCTGTATTTGTGGTGTGGTAAAAAGAAAACGTGGTTCTTGACTAGGTAGTTGACACGTTTGTTAGTTCCCATTGTTTCTGTTTTTCGACTTGAGAGTGTGTACTTGCACATTTGTTTAGGAGACTTTTACATTATGACAAGTAGATTCTATATAAAATTTTCAAATCATTGTATAGTCTTAGGAGGGGGGACGAAGCATTCCTTAGAAGGATGTGGAAACCTCTCTCTAATAGATGCGTTTTAAAACTGTGAGGCTGACGATGATACATAACGGGCCAAAACGGACACTTTTTGATAGCGGTGGGCTTGGGCTGTTACAATTGGTATCAGAGTTAGACACTAGGCGGTGTGCCAGCGAGGACGCTGGCCCCCTAATGGGGGTGGATTCTGAGATCCCTCATCGGTTGGAGAGGGAACGAAGCATTTCTTACAAGGGTGTGGAAACCTCTCTCTATCATATGTGTTTTAAAATTGTGAGGCTGATGGCGATACGTATCGGGCCAAAGCAGACGATATCTACTAGCGGTGGGCTTGGGCTGTTACAAATGGTATCGGAGCCAGACATCGGGCCCCAGCGAGGACGCTGGACCCCAAGGGGGTGGATTGTGAGATCCCACATTGGTTGGAGAGGAAAACGAAACATTCCTTGTAAGGGTGTGGAAACCTCTCCTTAGCATACTCGTTTTGAAACCGTGAAGCTGACGGCGATACGTAACAGGCCAAAGTGAACAATATCTGTTAGCGGTAGGCTTGGACTGTTACAAGTTGAATCTCCTGACTTTTGCACTAGAACAGTCATTGATCTCCTGACTTTTGCACTAGAACAGTCATTGATCTCCTGACTTTTGCACTAGAACAGTCATTGATGATGACATTGCTGCAATTGTTGCAGTTCTCCTATGGCTTCTAACAGCTGCATGTATCAAAACCGGGCGACCCCAGATTGCAAGACGTGCAATCGAACTAGCTGAAACCAGGCTACTGAAAGACAGCTGGCCTGAATATTACGACGGGAAGCTGGGGCGATACATCGGGAAACAGGCAAGGAAGTTTCAGACGTGGTCGATTGCAGGTTATTTAGTAGCGAAGATGATGCTGGAAGACCCGTCGCATGCAGGCATGGTGTCTCTGGAGGAAGACAAGCAGATGAAGCCATTAATGAAAAGGTCACATTCATGGACTTGTTAGTGCTCTCTTCTTAGCTTTATTAGTGGTTTTTATAAGTAAAACTTTTGGGAGACGCCCTTGCTTTTAGGAGAAACATGTTATATTCTACCCTTGGTTGTTTCTGAGAAACTTATTATAATATACTCTTTGAAACATTATATTTTGACCTTTTTTAGGAATCAAACTTTGTTTGTGCCCTTACAACTCTCTCATTCATGTCTTCTTTTTCTCTCTCCTCTCCGTTCGTTTCTTCTCCCTCGACTCTCTCATCTCGATATTGTTTGAGTATCGATGTCACATCTTCATTGTCATGTTGCGTAAGTACAATCAGTCTAGGTTGAAGGGTCGAACAGATACTCCAACACGAACATCTCTTGAAGTTACACAAAACTTATGATATCTCATAGTTTCGACTTTTGGAAGCATTGAAATTCGAGTACGGTTGTGAATGCATTAAAGTCGGTGTAGATAGGACCGTCCCTGAAGCTAGCTAAAACTATGCTATTCAAAGCAATCTATCTAAGGCTAGTCCAGTCTAATGCTAGGTTAGGTGATTCCTCTCTATCAATGACCGAAGCTTAATCTAGAGAGAGAGCTCACTATACCACCAGGTTGCCACATTTGCTTATGAAACAATAACAACTTATCCCGAGCTATCTACCTAAGGTTAGTCGAGTCTAATGCTAGACTAGGTGATTCCTCTCTATCAATGACTTCCCAATTTCAATTCAAACATGGGTTTGATTCACACTCCATGTTCTGAGAAATATTTATCATCTGAAAAGAGGAAAAAACAGCGTCTTTGTCTAAAGAAATGCCTTGAGAAAGGGCAGATGTATAGAACCTTTCAACGAGATAGTGCTTTTTCAACTCTCCCAAAATGGAATCTTATCTCGAGCTCCTATCACCCATCGCCACGAGTGCATTCAAAATAGGTCATCGGTGCTAAAACTATGGTAGGTGCTAAAACTATGGTAGAAGAGAGTTGAGAGGTAGAAGAAAAATGACTCATAGATGTGAGGATGAACATTCCAAGTTCCCAAGTTTTGTGGGAGCAAAGCAAAGGGTGAGAGGGGCAAGGAAGAAACAAGAAAGAGATTGAAGAAACCAAACAAATCCCAATTTCCTGCCTCGTTCTGGGATTGCCAAAACAAAATCAGAGCAACACAACACACAAACAACCGATTCCATTAACCCTTTCTGAAAGCAATGTATGGCAGAAATCGAAATTTCATACTGATAATCGAGGCCAGAAATATGCGCCTCACACGGACAGATTCCTCGCTAAAATCCCTTCAAACGAAATCCCAGGTCCAAACGCCAGAATCAATCCCCATTCCTCAATTTCCCCACCACCCATCTTCATCTTCAAGCTCTCATCCACCATGTATTCCAACACATACACGATTGTGTTACTGCTCGCATTTCCATAGTCCATCAGAGCTCGCCGGCTCGCCTTCAGCTTCTCAGGTAACAATTCGAGTCTCTTTTCTAGTTTATTCAGTATCGCTGGCCCACCTGGATGTACTGCCCAGAAGATTTTGTTGTATTCTTTCTCGTGCAGCCCAACTGTTTGAAGAAATGTCTCACAGAAACTTTCGATGTTATCTTCGATTATTTGAGGAAGTTCTCTTGCTATTGTGAAGCTAATACCCTCCTCTGATAGTCTCCCATCGATTACGTTCTGGGTGTGTGGAATGAATTTCTGGGTTGCGGTGTGCAGCTCAAAGAGTGGGCGTTCAATGGCCAAAACAGGGTCCGTGCCAATTAGCATTGCCCCAGCACCATCCCCAAATAGTGCCACGCCTACCAGATCGTATGGACGATGTGCACTTGGTGGCTTGTAGCTGTAAAGAAATTGATGTTTATGTTTAAATTCTGAGAACAAATGGTGTATGAGCTTTTGGGGGTGTTGAAAAGTTACCCAATAATGGTGGTTTCAGAGGTGACAATCAGAACTCGGCTTCCGGGGTTGTTTTCAGCCAAGTCTTTGGCCACTCTAAGGCCTGCCACGCCTCCAGAGCAACCCATGAAGTAAAGCATGAGCCGTTGGGTGTGAGGGCTGAGACCAAGGCCTCTTGTTAGGAAGAGATCACCACCAGGCAGGCGAGCTTCACTTGAAGAGACATAGACTAAATGGGTAATGTCTGAAAGTGGCCTTCCCCAGTTCTTAATAGCAGCTTGTGAGGCTTCAATGGCCATGTCTGTCACAGCTTTGTTGCAGATCTCCAGTCTTTGCTTTATGGTTGCTTGGCCTTCCATTGCCAGCTCTGGGTGCTTCTTCAAGATCTCTTCTGACATCACCACGTATCTAGTTTTGACTGATGTTGTCTTGCCTGTGGATTGCCATTAGAAGATGACAGTTAATTCAGTTAAAGAGGAACAATTTTAACAACCGCTGGCATCTATCAGCTTCAACTAAAAGTCAATCTCAGGTATGTAAAATCATCTTAGAATGATCAAGTGAACTTATAAAATTCTGAAATCATCTTAGAAGTTCTATCCAAGTTCTTTTAGATCAATGAAATATGAAATCTTATTTCGGTTTTAGAATCTCTGCCCCCCGCACCCCCAAGTAACGAAAAGGTATAAAATTACAGAGTCGAGTGAGCTTCTGCTTGAGGTCTAAATCATCGCAGCTCGTATCCTTGAAATAGCTATCAACCAGGTAGTCTTGAAGGACAAGTTGGGGAGGGAAGGCCTTCCCAAGAGCCAGAATTGATGCTCTGCCAGGGTTAGCCTTTCCCTTGGAAGCTCCTAGTGCTCCATTTCCCTTTCCCATCTCTGAAACTTGGGAACCAAATGATTCTTTCCAGTTTGCAAGGGCAACAAAGCTATATATAAAGCTGCACTACCTGTTCATCACCTAGAAAGTTTGAATGCTCAAACTCTACAATGGAAGGCATGTGATTTGAAAATCAGCATAGATTTTAGTTAAGAAGCGGGGCATTCATTTAAGCTGTGTGTACTAGTAAGATAGAGATTTGGTTAAAGCACATTCTGTCCAGTTGACTCGACACGTTCATCGCATTCCCAAATAACCAGTGCACGAGAGCATGTATTAGTTTGCTCGGGCTAGCCGATAGACATTTAGGATACAATAAAATAGAGAGTTCGTAATATGATCTTCAAAAGTTCATCTGCTTAGGGTATTATTGACTCTTCTACATCACATATTGCCTGTTCAATATCTTGTATTGTATGGGAAAAAATCGTAGCTAGCAATCATCAAAGTTCATGAATGCACTTTCCACTGATGAAATTTACAACTTGTGTAACTGCTTGATCCAGTGCTGCAGAAACTGTGGCCAAATTCTGCAAGAATTCTTCTGCAGTCGGTTTTTCGCCATCGACGATATCAGTAACAGCTTTTACAAATATTGCAGGAACTTTGAAGATATCTGCTACATACGCAATTGCTGCTCCCTGAAATTCAAACTTCAAAAGAGTTAGAGGCAATCTCCAGGTTGCTGCATCAACAGTTCAGCTTTTACCTCCATATCTTTAACCGTGGCATCGTTAGCTAGAATCGATGCTTCATCCTGTGCAGACATGTCTAGCGAGTCACCGGTTGATAATTTTCCGATCTGATGGAAGAAACAATACAAAAACAAATGTTTCAAGCTGGTGGCATGTTTCTTGTAGCATATTTTCAACTAATGATTCAAGGAGTTGGGGGTTCATCGTGGACGCGAAAGCTATTCAAAATGGTAACTTGTAGTACGTTTCGAGGAAAATAGAAGCTCTTACATCTCATTGAAAGTCTGTAAGGAACTTTGTGTACTTTAAAACATCATAGTACCAAAACAAACTGATGTTGTAGATGATCAAACAATTCGTTTAAAGGAAATTCACCTTTAGATCGAGCTCCTTAAGGAGATTGGGTGTCGACATTGCTTGCTTCGATCCGACTCCATATAAATCGAAAACCTGTAATGTAATGACAGTATTCTTTGAGGCAGAGTTAAGGAGCAGGAAAATTAAAGCTGTTAAATTTCAACCCACACAAGCAAATTCTCCTTACTCTATCATACCATCACACATCACACCACAAAGTGCTCAACTTTTACGCACAAACGTGCGAGACTACGATGTAAACTGATGATCGACCTGTTAAGTTCGGAAGTAATTGTAAGCTGAAGAGGACATTGTGCCTCTTCAACTCTAGAAAGTAATACTTACTGGAATAGGTATACGTCTGTCATGGAAAGCACACTCGGATACGAGAAAGACATCGCCAATACTCGCTCCTTTTGCCTGGTAGCGAGCAATCGAACCATCAGTCAAACACAAACACGAAATATCTTTAACCCTTCACAATTTCTAGTAGGTTAAACTAGAAAATAAAATCCCAGAATTTTAGAAAGATTCGAACGGTAACTGTTGGATAGAGGAACACGACCACAGCTTATGAATTTGACAAACATATGTAAGGAGAGGGATGGGACATCACTAAATTGAGACTGTGTGAGATCCCATATCGGTTAGAGAGGAGAATGAAACATTATTGGAAACCTCTTTCTAGCATATGCATTTTAAAAATCTCGAGGGAAGCTCAAAAGGGAAAGCCCAAAAAGGACAATATCTGCTAGCGGTGGGGTTGAGCCGTTAGAAATGGTATCAGAGCCAGGCACCGGACGATGTGCCAGCGAGAAGGCTGAGTCCCAAAAGGGGCAGACACGAGGCAATGTGCTAGCAAGGACGTAGGGCTCTTCGGTGGATTGAGGGGTCTCACAACGATTGGAAAAGAGAACAAGTGCTAGCGAGGACGCTGGGCCCTAAAGGGGAGTGGATTGTGAGATCCCACGTCGGTTGGGAAGGACAATGAAGCATTCTTTACAAGGGTGTGAAAGCTTCTCCCTAGCAGACGCGTTTTGAAAACCTTAAAGGAACCTCGAAAGGGAAAGCTCAAAGAGGACAATATCTGCTAGCGGTAGGCTTGAGCCGTTACAAACTAAAGAAAAGAAAAGAAAAGGACAATGAACTACCCAAAAAAGAGATTGACATGTTCATAAAGGAAACTACTGATTCGATGCTCTCTTTGAACTTTGAATCAAGGTCAGAAGAACAAATCTGGGTGGCAAAACGACAACATATGCTTGATGAACAAGCAAAGGTTTTAACAATGAAACCAAAAACTAGCTTGCTAGCTAAGTCATACATACACATACCTTAAAACCACCAGCAGTGCCTGCATTGATAATCAGGTCTGGTTGCAATGCTTGGACAGAAGCATAGGTTACGAGCGAAGCCGAAATCGTGCCCACGCTATCAACCCCTGAGAGGTAACTTACATTGTAACTTCTGTTTTGAACACATTATCATACAAGTACAAAGCAAACAAAAACACAGGACACCAGCCAATGTCTATCTGCAAAATGCTGAAATAAGAACAAGGAACTAACAAAAATAGACGAAGTACAAGGATATAGCAACAGTCAATTATTCAAAAAGCGAGGGGTGAAGCAGCGAGACGAGACCAATAGGGCTTTAAGGCCTTGACCTGTAAATGGACCTTTATGAGAATATCCATTTAAGGCCCTGATGAGTTTCATTCACTCATTATGTAACATTTCAAGCCCACCGCTAGCAGATATTGTCCTCTTTGGATTTTCCCTTCTGGGCTTCCCCTCAAGGTTTTTAAAACGCATTTGCTATGGACAGGTTTCCACATCCTTATAAAGAATGCTTCATTCTCCTCTCCAACCGATGTGGGATCTCACAATCCACCCCCCCGGGAGCCCAGCATCCTCGCTGGCACACCGCTAAGTGACTGACTTTGATACCATTTGTAGCAGCTGTCTGACCCATTACGTAAACGCGTTTGTTAAGGAGAGGTTTCCACACCCATACAAGGAATGTTTCGTTCTCCTCTCCAACCGACGTGGGATCTCACAATCCACCCCCCTTGGAGACCCAACGTCCTCGCTGGCACACCGCTTGATGCCTGACTCTGATACCATTTGTAACAACCCAAGCTCACCGCTAGTAGATATTATCTGTTTTGGCCCGTTACGTATCGCCGTCATCTTCACGGTTTTCTAAAACGCGTTTGTTAGGGAGATGTTTCCACACCCATATAAGGAATGCTTCATTCTCCACTCCAACCGATGTGGAATCTCACAATCCACCCCTTTAAGGACCCAACATCCTTGTTGACACACCACTCGGTGTCAGGCTCTGATACCATTTGTAATAGTCCAAGCCCATCGCTAGCAGATATTGTCCTCTTTAGCCCATTACATATTGTCGTCAGCCTCACAGTTTTTTAAAACATGTCTGTTAGAGAGAGGTTTCGATCCCCATATAAGAAATGCTTCGTTTTCCTCTCCAACCGACGTGGGATTTCACAATCCACCCCTCTTGGGAACCCAGCGTCCTCGCTGGCACACCACTCAGTGTCTAGCTCTGATACCATTTGCAACAGCTCAAGCCCACTGCTAGCAGATATTGTCCGCTTTGACCCATTACGTAAACGCGTCTGTTAAGGAAAGGTTTCCACACCCATATAAGGAATGCTTCGTTCTCCTCTCCAACTGATATGGGATCTTACAATCCACCCCCTTGGGAGTCTAGCGTCCTCGCTGGCACACCGCTCAGTGTCTGGCTCTAATACTATCTGTAACAGCCCCATTATGTAAACGCGCTTGTTAAGGAGAGGTTTTCACATCCATATAAAGAATGCTTCGTTCTCCTCTCCAACTGATACGGGATCTCACATCCTTTTTCAAAATGCTTTACAAATCTCCAGCATAAACAATCCATGAACATCATCCACTAAAAGAATTGAATCAAAAAACAAGGTAAGCAAGGATAAATTAAGCATACCCAAGGCCAAATCCTTTCCAGGCCAAATTAAATTGATCTCAAGATGTTTGTAAATCCCATGATAACGAACCCAGGGAACCTCCTTTGGAAACCTGTACAATCAAGCATTTCACATAAACAAAAATCCAAACCAACAACCATGAAAGAATGCAAACTCAACCCAAAAATGAAGAACACTCACACAGAGCCAACATCTTCCCTAAGTTGAAACTTATCCACCAAAGGAAGCGCTTCGGTCTGCATAGCTGAATTGCCAAATCAAACCCCAACAGTCGAAATCCCAATCTAAGCAAGAAAACGCAAGAACATACACAAAAAAACATTCAAAAACAAAGATGGGTTACCGATTATGATGAGAATAGACGAAATTGGGCGCTGATTTAGAAGCTGAGAATCCATGGATTCCTTATGCAGAGGTGGGAATGTTGTTGCGAAGAGCTATAGTGATCTGGGTATCAATGGACAAGGTTTTGGTAGCAATTTAAAGGAAAATCGATGGACTATGGAGCGACTGAGAGGTAGAAAGGTTGAGAAAATGATAGAGAACGTGGCAATGTCTCTACAAAGACCAGCTCAACGGCGGCTGCTTCATAAGGCAACAAAAAAATAATAAGAACACCTTTTTCTTCTTCATTCCCCTCTTGCTAGGGATTTCCTTATTTGAAAATTGGAATTTCAATATCATTTTTAAGCTTTAAATTTTATTTGGTTGTTTTAGAGATAAAATTTTTTAAAAATCCAAAAAAATATTTTGGATGATGAAAGTGGTGGCTAATTTAGGGAATGATCGTGCGTTTATAATCAAAGAATACTCTTTTCATTAGAACGAGGCTTTTTGGGAAGCACAAAGCAAAGTTACGAAAGCTTATGTTAAAAGTGGACAATATCATACCATTGTGGAGATTCGTGTTCATCTAACATGGTATCAGAGCTATGCCCTAAACTTAGTCGTGCCAATAGATTGGTAAATCCTCAAATATCGAACAAAGGACTCCAAAAGAAAAAGAGTCAAGCCTCCTCGAAGGCAATAAAAAATGACTAAGACTCCAAAAGAGTCGAGTCTCGATTAAGGGGAGGCACACTTTGTTCGAGGGGAGGTGTTGGATGATGAAAGTCCCACCTTGGCTAATTTAAAATAATACTCTCTCTATTGGAATGAGGCCTCTCGAAGGAGCCCAAAGCAAAGGTATGAGAGGCTCAAAGTGGATAATATCATACCATTGTGGAGACTCGTGTTCATCTAACATTTTTAAAAAAATTAACTTTAAAATTTTCAACCCTTTAATAGAATGAATTAGATCGAGAAATTAGCTTTAATGATCGTAGCTTAGCGTTAATTGATATATACTAACTCTTTTAGTATAAAAAATTCAAATCCCGATACTTTATTTATGGTACTAAGAAAAAAATTTATCCACTAAAAACGGTGGTCCGATTCATTGATTTTTTTTTAAAATAGTATATAATAGTGTAAAACTAATCGATAATTATATGAAAAATACTTTTAACAAATCTTATATATATAAATTATTTTAACTATATCTTTAAATTAATATTTTTAACACTTATAAAATCAATTTAAATACAATTTTAATTGGTATGCTTAAAATTAAAAAATTATTTAAAAAATCGACTATATTATTATTATTTTCGTGTTTAATAAATTATAAAATATGTATTTAAATAAATTTTAAAGAAAAAAAAATTATATCTAGTTTAATTTTAAAATTTTGCGAAATTTGTATAATTATTTAGTGATTAATTTGAAAATCAATCAAATTAAAAAAAATAAATTTGATGATATTAAAATTTTAGTGTAATTTAAAAAAAAAAAATCAAAATGTGAAAATATTCTTAAAATGAGTGTACTAGGAATTGCCACGTGGAAATCCATTTTCTAAAAGTGCGGGCCGAGCTAATTAAACTTGAGACACGTGGAGAGATTTGATAGGTTGGAGTGTCGCGGAGACTCGTAATCGTGGACGGCAGTTGACACGTGGGACAGTGTTTGACGTGGAAATGAAATTATTGATTTCATAAAGTAAAATATTTAATAATAATTTGAAGAGATAGAAACATTAAAACATTGGCCATATTAGGTGACACCAACAAAAGAGTTCAATTCAAATTCATATACCATCCTTATTTTTATAACTTATTCGACACGACTCTATCGATAAATAAAATCACGACACAATGAAGTACGATGTGAATTTATTGTCTTTTGTACTTATTCACAGTTGTTTATTTTTAATTGGGTCTCGAACCTGAAACCCGATAACATACAAAAGTTTAGGGATTAAATCGATATAACTATTAGTAAATTTATCGACTTCTGTACTCGTAATCGTTTATTTATTGACTTCTGTAAATGGTTCTAATAATCTATACCCAAAAGAGAGCCAATAAATTGACGACATATTACTCAAACTTCTTTGGAGTATATCCATTTCAACCGGGTTCGATATTGTTTAACTGGGTCAAGACGTTTCGTGATGTGATAATCCGATTACTTTGGACTATTTAATTCAAACTACAAAGGTTTTATTGGATTGAGTTGATTTTTTGAAAAACATAAAATTTGATTCAGTTCGAGAGTTGAATTTTTATATCCGAGAAAATTGAAAACACGGAACAGGATTTTTAATGTTTGTAACGGATGGTAATGATGTATTATAATTTGTAGATATTCGATATTTGAATTTTACAAGATTTTTGTTATTCATGTAATATTTATTGTGAATAAGTAGGATTTTTTTTAATAATTGAAAAAACAACCCGACAACGAAATCCAATCCAAAAAGAGGAGGTTGACCTGGGTTCTGAGCTCTGTTAAGGTTGCTCGAGCTACCAACAAATTTCGAATTGGTCTAAAAAAAAATTCATCTCAACCCGTGTACCCTAAAAATTCTTTTTAATAAGTCCATCGTTCAAACTTAATCCCATAAGATCTACGAAAGATTTAGTTTTGATTTGGTTTCCTTGAACGGTGAGAATCTAAAATGCTCTCATACACACAAAGTATGGTTTATAACATAATACAACAAATCTGATACATTCATTCACTCGAGGGAGCATCATTTTATAGCCTGTAGAAGGAGCCAATTCATGCCTTAGCTCCCCATATTAGGATAACTTATACAGTTCTATGTCATTTTCCTTTACCTTATAATGGATTACTAAGATGATGGTGTCAAAAGTGTAGAAGAACAGGCTAGAGGCTCATGCACAACAGAATTTGAAGACACTAAGATTGGATTGCTTTCCAACTGCAGCATCACTGCCCCCAGAATCTCGGTCAATAGTTTCTTGAACTCGTCTTCCTTAACCGCCTTCCCGTCATCCGCAGCTACCATCTTGAATGCATCAACAACCAGCTTGTCCATCTGCACAGATTAGATTATACAGGCCAGACATGTTAAGAATGAGAAACTCTGATACCATGTAAAGAACAAGACATGTTACGAAAGAGAAGCTCTGACACCATGAACAAGACATTAGTTTCAGTGTCACTAAATTATCAGCTTGTTAATGTCAGTGATGTTTGTTGATTGTTTCGTAACCTCGTCGAGGGCGCCTAAAGGCGGTAAACCGGCTAACGGAGCAACCAAATCGAGCGCCAACTGCAGATGTTCCTTTGGCAATTTCCCAGTCTTATCTTTTGGGACACTCTGAAGTGCCGTATTAAGCGACTGCATCCAGATCAAACAATGACATATGAAGTTTTGAACGTGATGCAAGAACAATCTTAATCAAGCCAAGTAGCGGATATTACCTTGTCCAGTTCAAATTTGTTGGATAACAATCTTCTGATGCCACTCCCATCAAAGGTGTTTTCACTGTGAGCAACAATAACAGGCTGTTCTTTAAGGCGTTGAGCCACATGCTCAGCAGCTCTCTTGAACTCCAACAGGAAGGTCTCTTGTGAGACAGGCTTGCTCCAATTCTCACCTAGAGCACACGATTCGAGAGCTGGTTCGACGATATCGCTCATAACCTAACGAGAAGATGGAACAAACTCAATCATAGAACTACCGGAAACATTAAGCTTTTTGATGCTATCAGTGACAGGACAGCTAAGAACAAAAACAACAGAGTTCTATTGGTTCTATTCAAATAGTTACCCAGGAGTCTGAAGGAGGAGGCATCCCTTGTTCCACAGTAAGATTTTGAAAAGCTTTAATAATGTTATCATGAGGAGTTTCTTCGGATTGCTCGATTTTTGAAAAAATGGCGATCATCTCGGGCTCGTAAGCAGGGCTATTAATGAATTCAAGGAGGTCTTCTCCATCAATCCGAAGTATAACGATGGGATCTCGCTTCAACCCGGCAGCCATGCCTAGCAGAATATCAGAGAGAACTTTTTTAAACTCAGTCTTGCTTACCTTTTCTCTTGATCCATGAGTAAACTCATTGATTACCTACATACCACCCAGAAAAACCCCAACCAGAGCAGAAATTATCAGAGTTCAATGATCTAACAACAATAGAAACTGATTGCTGCACTAAAGAACACATACTTGACATTCAACACTCAAGGAAGGAAACTCAGAATATGTGCAATACATTTTGGCAACAAAATACAAGGAGAAAACAAGAACAGTTTGATCAAACAAAACGTTAACTATTTATAGATAGATCATCCACTTCTTTTGGTTCATTATTGGAGCAGGAAACTTGCTTTATTATCAATGATGCAAGATGTTGACAATTCTAAGAGTGTTAATGAGAAAATGGGTATGATTTTCAAAGCACTCGTCATAGATTCCTACTTGTAAATGAAGATTAAAGAAACAAGAATGAAAGAAAAAGTCAAAAAAGGAACTCAAAAAGAAACCAGAATGTTGTAATGAACCCACCGGCCATGTTGGACCAGAGGTTGGATACTTCACAAAGCTATCTGTAAATGGAAAACTATAAACCAAGAAGAGAAAGTAAGGTCATCAATACCCACTAAAAGCTTAGATCATCATCACAATCATCAAGTTAAAAGTAATCTTTGTGAAGGGCAGGCACTAAAAGAAAATATAAAAAAGCAATAATCATGCATCACCATAATTATAATATTTGGGCGGTCCAAAGCTTTTGAAGTAAAATGAAATGGGATCTTTGTCTTGTTTACACAATAAACAATTAAAAATTCACAAGATAAAAAATACACATACAATCCTACTGAGAATTGTTTCATCATAAAGGAGATCTATAATTTTACACGTGTGGAGTTTTCTTGGTTTGGTCCTGATTATTTTGAGATAATAGTAGATAGAAATAACGCTCGTAAAGGAGTTCTATTGAAACTAAGAAATATAGGCTTGTCTACCATCCACACCAGAACAAATGAAGTTTTTCGAAAAAAACCTACTAGGGGAGGAGGACCTCCTAAGGATAAGAGACATAGAACTAAAGAGAGAGCGTATATAGTTATCAATTTTGGTACGTAGACCAAATGGTATAGATTCGTATATCACAGCAAACGGTTGCAAGTGCACTTTTGGACATAAACATGAAGCATTGAAACAAAGAAAACCCACTAAAATCTTGTATCAATCTCCTTGTCTTATTTCCAATTTAATAATGGTGGTCTCAAATTCAGTAGTGGACAAAATGATCATGAGATCACCGACATCACTTTCTCA